ACACCTGATTGGTCTAACAATGATTTGAACAGTAATAGCTAAGCAGGAGAGGGATAGGCAGGACTACCAGGCAGAGAGAATAAAAAGGAGGAGAAATCCAGGCTCCAGAAAAGAGAGAAGAGAAGGAGTAAGGAAAGGAGGAGAGGAGGATGCCAGGGACCAGTTGGCCAACCACACAGTCAGCTATGGAGTAAGAAGGAAAGAAAGGAACATAGAATAGAGAAAGGTAAAAAGCCCAGAGGCAAAAGCTAAATAGGATAACTTAAGAAAAGCTGGCTAGAAATAAGCCAAGCTAAGGCCTGGAATTCATAAGTAATAATAAGTCTCCATGTGATTTATTTGGGAGCTGAGTGGTTGTCACCCCAAAAAGAGCAAAGGATACAAAGTGAAAAAAACAACCAACAACACCTTTCTTTCTAGAAGGTCACTCTAATCAGACAGAGTGAACCTGTCAGATCATGGGGCACAGGACTCAGTCCTTCCACAGGCCTCCTGTCTCAACCAGAGTAAGAAACAGAGTTCTTAGTCCCATCCTAGACAGCAACTCTTCCCTCTGGCCTCCCTGGCACAGCTGTATTGGCTTTCTGTTTCTAGAGCCACCCCTGAACCACAAAAGTTCTTCCTGGACCTGCACTAGAAAAGGTCACTGTGTGGTCTCAGATGGGGACTTTCTCCCCTGAGGATATCTTCGTACTGACTTGTCTTATCACTGTGAAGAGACACCATGAGCTCAGAAACTCTTATAAAGGGAAACATTTAGTTGGGACTGTCTTATAGTTCAGAGGTTTAGCCCATTGTCACCATGGTGGGAAGCATGGCAGCCTGCAGGCAGATGTGGTGCTGGAGAAGAAGCTGACAGTTCTACATCTGGACCCACAGGCAGCAGGAAGTGACAGTGAGCCACTCTATTCCTGGTTTGAGCTTCTCAAAGCCCACCCCTTAGTGACACACAAGGCCACACCTCCTATGTAGTGCCACTCCCTATGGACCTCTGGGAGCCAATTTATTCAAACTACCACATGATTCTTCTGTGTTTTTATAAATCTTCAAGGCGGATGCTACATTCCTGTAGAATTTTCCCAAACCCTCGTGTTGTAGTTCCAGCTCCCTCTTCACATTCCCTGCCACTGTCTCTTGCTTCCAGTTTCCCTAATTTATTACTCCAAACATACTACATAGCTTCCCTTACACCAAGCCACATTTCTGACAGCAGAACTATATCTGTGTTACCTTCTACATAATTTCTACTTCTTACTCTGTGCCTGGCACATAGTAAATCTTCAATGTGCATTTCAATGAATGGTTGGGTGTCTAAATGCAAAGATAGAGAGGTATGACAGATGGATAGATTATGGCTGGGTAGGTAGATGAGGGAATAGGTATATAGGTAGGTGGATGGATGGACGGATGGGTGGATATGTAGGTAGATGGGGGAAATTCATGGGTAGAGATGAATGAGTGGATGGATAAAGGACTAGATAGATCTCTGAGTAGATGGGTGGATGAATATATAGATGTGTGGATAGATGAGTGGATGGATGGATGGATGGACAGATGAATGGATGAATGTATGCATGATGAATGATAAAAGCATAGATTGATGAATGAATGGAAAAATGGTTGGGTAAAAGGGTAGATAGGTGAGTGGGTAGGTGGGCAGGATAAATGAATGTTTGGGCAAAGGGATGGAAGACAAAGAATGAAGGAAAGAGGGAAGAAAGGAAAGAAATACAGATGAGTGGCTAAATCACTAGAAAATGGCCAGATAGATTAGTAAGTAGGCTGATGGACAGAATGGAGGAATGGCAAATAGATAAAGCCCCTCCTCCTACCTATAGAAAGCGTAGTTGACCGCAGAAGGAGTGCCTAACTCAAGAGCATTGGGACCACCAAAGGAGACTGTGATTCAGTAGGCTTGGATCAGAGCCCAGGAATCTCAGTATAATAAGCTCCCCAGGGTTTGTTTTGTGCATTGAAGATTGAGTCAAGGGATGACAGGAAGGTCTGTAAAAGGCTTTCTATCAGCCAGATCACCTGGAAGAATGCTACACGGTGTGCAAAGTAAACACCCAGGGGGACATTCTTTAGGAACAAGGTTTGAGAGACATGGCAGTGGCCCTCCTTTGTTCAGAAACATGTCATGCCAGAGGATCCTTTGGGCTTCTCCTCAGTGTCCATATGATGCTCTGAATCCTCCCTGTAGAAGGGTGATGCGCCATGCTTCCCGCTCCTTCCACAGTGGAGCTCACTGGCTTTCTAGCCTCCTTGTTGGGAACAGATGAGGACCTGGAGCAGCCTGGACTCTGCCCAGGATATCAGCCCTCCCGTCTGTCACAGGTTAGGAACCTCGAGCATCGAACATGACCTTTACCTGCTTGCTCTCAGCTGCTTGCATGATTTCACAACCCTTCCTCAGGAGTCAGCTCTGTCGTGACCACTACTTTAGATGGCACTGGCTCTCATCCACAGCCTGTGGTGTGTAACTGTCCCCTAGCACAAACACAGCTTTGTGAAGACCATGCACACAAGTATCTGGTTGTTTTCCCCACTGGATCCTAGAATGAACAGGGATTCATCTGGGGTCTACATGCAAGGATGACACTGGGGGTGGAGGGAGCACGGAGAAGAGCGAGGAAGCTCTCTAGGTCAGCACAGCTGAAGTATAGCTGAGTACAAAGAACTGCGATTGCATGGGAGAGTTCATAGGCTCTAATGGGAAGTACAGATGTGATTTTCATAAATGAACATGTTGTCAAAACACTTCCTCAATATTTATATTTTTGCCCACAAATCAGTGCTCTTCTTAACCTTGGTCAGTGAACCAAGTGGATGAGAAGTTATTGCAGAGACCCCTAACTGGTCAAAGTGGTAAGAGTAAGTGACTGTTGAGTGCTCATCTCTAAATGGGACACTCACATCACACCCTCCAAGGCTGGGGGACACAGAGAAAGAGGGCCAGAAAAAACCTAAGAGCCAGAGGACAAGAAGTGCCATAAAGTACTGTCTGCTGGACATGGCAAGGCCACTGCACTCACGAACTCGCAGTTGTGACTGGTTGTAACCCCATCAATATCTGGGATGTGAGAAGGGCTCCTGCATCCCAAGCCCTAGCTGAGGGCCTATGGGCAGCTGGTGGCTGCTGAGGGACACGGGTAATTTTTCCTCAGTGGTATAGCCACTTGCAAGTTTCCCATGCTCCATTAAATAACTCCATGTCTATGTTCAGGCAGGCAACTCCATTTAAACTCAGGATCCATATGAAATAAAGGACAACATGAATGTTGGAGGGAGACTCACTGGGAAGCAGGAAGGTGGTCGGGGAGTAGGAGGACATAAGAGAGGGTGAGGGGTGAATGCATTCATTATACGCACATATGAAACTGTCAAAGAATAACTTTAAGTGTTTCTTAAAGTCCTGGGACTGGGCCTGTAGCTCAGATGATGCAGTATTTATACAGCATGAGAGAGGCCCTGGGATGGATCTCCAGGTTGTGGAAATGGGGAAGGGTGCTGCACACCTGTAAACCTGACACCCAGGAAGTGGAAGCAGGAAGATCCAGAGTTCAAGGCCATCTTTGGCTACATAGGGAACTGGGCTATGTGAGACCCTGTTTCTGATGATGATGATGATAGATAGATAGATAGATAGATAGATAGATAGATAGACAGATAGATACATAATAAAATGAATCTATAAGGTATCAATTTATCAAATGATAATAGAAGAAGTTAGGATAAAGAAAATGGTGACACAGCTTTTTAGTAGATGCTGTCACAAGACCGGTGTCTCATTGGCACCTTTCATTCCTCAATAGGATTGTGACTTTCACAACACTGACCCTATTATACTTAAGGTCTTTGGCTATACGGCCAGGAGTGGGTGTAACAGCTGTAACACCCAACATCCCTTAATTCTGATGACAAGCAGCAGACATTCTGTGGCTACAACTGGGACACACATTCTCGGCAGTGTCACAGGTTCACAGCAGGAATATGCTTAGGTGCCTACAGAGGTGACATACTCTGTAGGGCCCTCTGCCTCTAGTTCCTTCCTTCCCCAGCACCTTTTGGACTTGTTCATTGTTTTCAAGCATCATCTCTGGAATACACAGCGGGCAGGCATAGCTTGGTCTCAGACACCCCATCCTAACCCAGTCCCCGGTGGGAATGGGCAGAAACCCCTCGCACTGATGTAAGATGTTACAAGTGTGATTATCTCCCAGTCACTCAGAATAGCTTCAGAACACTGTAACACTGTAGTAAAGCCATGCCAGTGGTTGACAGAAAGCTTCTATTGTGGTGTCATGACCAACAGGTTCTAGAGAGGGTTCAGGTTGTCACACTCCTCTAGACACTGCCTCGCCCCAACCACAATGCTTCCATCTCCTGTTCTGAGCAGAGCAATGGCTTGGATTCAAGTTTCCTTCCACCTATTGACTGTCCTTCTGAAGAAGTGCCCATGTGAAGTTCAGGGCCTTTTAGAGTCACCCAGAGGCCGAGCCTCATAGGTAGAGTGGTAGAAGAGAGATGAGCTCTACTCACAGACACGGGGAAGGTGCCTACCCTGGCAAATTCGGTGTAGAAAATGGGAGGTGGCACCATGGTAGTGTGCTTGAATGCCACACATAAAGCCTTGGGCTCCACCCCCTGGAATCACGTTTACAGGCTGTGCTGGTGTAGGCATGTAATCCCAACACTCAGGAGGAGGAAGGATCAAAGTTCAAGGCCATGCTTGATTGTGCAGTGGGTTCAAAGCCAGTCTGGGGCTACTTGATACACTGCCTCAAAAAAAATAAAAAATAAAAAAGCCCACAAAATGGGTTGCACTTTAGGATCTGGTCGTGTAGTGGGGATTTAATCTGATGCTTCCTGTGTGAAATTTATAGGCACAAACGGCGATAATAAAAAACTGATTTCTCTGTTTAAAGGGACTGGTGTAAGTCCTTGGTTCTTCCCACCTCCCCAGAATGTCACCTCCCCAAGAGCTGAGTCAGTCTGTCCCTCCCTGCCATGTCTGCTGCAGCCAGCTCTTATCCAAAGGACATAGTTGAATTAGATGGTTGAATTCATTCTTTCCTGCTGACTTCTCTTTTCTGCGGTGAGTGAGAGCACATGCTGTCAACAAATTCCTCTGCCAAGACCGTGCCCACATTTTAAAGGAATATTTTGGAAATAGATACAAGTTTGTGCTTGTTCTTAAACAGCCTGAGGTTTCATCTTGTTTTATTGTATTAACTTATTGGGAGGCGTTCTTAGTTCCATCTTAGCTCGTGATTTCTGTTTACATTTCTCTTGTGTTTCTCATTTAGTCCCTTTCCTTCGCTGGGGTGCTCGAGTAGTGCTGGCTGTCTTTTCTGAGATTTGTGTCTTTTCTGTTTATTTCGCCAACAGCGGTATGGCTTACGTTTGACTAATCCCGCATACATGCCCTTCATCAACATTCCTATGAACTGCCCCTGCCCCTCCACCCCCACACACGCACACAGAATGGAAAAACAAGCATAGAGCCTGCTAGCATGCTTTTCCTTAGCTCCGCCCCTTTTCAAAATCTCCTTGAAGTTGGGGGCGGGGAGATTTGTAGGTATTGTCATTTTCTCTAAAGCGTCTTCGTATTCTTGCATTTGTTTTTATGTGTGTGTGTGTGTGTGTGTGTGTGTGTGTGTGTGTGTGTGTGTGTGTGTGTGTGTGTGTGTGTGTTATCAACGTTTACGATGCAGTTCATTTCATTCTACCACTGCCTTCCACATCTTAATTATTGCTCGATTCTCGGGAGGCCTTCTAGCCCCTGATGTGCCTCTAGGAGGGGAGATGTCGAAGACCAAGATGGCCTGTTTCCTGCCACTGGATGACCCTGACTGGTGTTTCTTATTGCAAAGGGCTGTTTTGTTGGTTCCTGTTTGTTGGCTTCTTATGTTGCTGGACATCTGACACCTTCACAGTGGTGTGTCTAGTCCTGTGTTTCTCTGCGTAATGTCCAACATGCAAGTCATTCCAGTCAGACTCGGATTATAAAAGTGAATCCACACTCAGTGTGACTCAGGAGAGATCTCATGCTAACTGCTCCAGTTTCAAAACGAGTAAAGTGCACATGTGTGAGGAACTGAATTCAGCCTCCAGAATGGCAGTGAAAAGTCCAGTGTGATGGTGCATGCCTATAGTCTCAGCTCTGGGGAGATGGAGGCTGGGTGATTCCTGAGGCTCACCATCAATCCAGTCTAGCTTACTTGGTGAGTCCGAGTCACTTAGCGACCATCTCAACCAAGTGGATGCGACCTAAGTAAAGACATCTGAGGTTGACTCTAGTTCATGCATACACACACACACACACACACACACAGAGAGAGAGAGAGAGAGAGAGAGAGAGAGAGAGAGAAACACACATACATACAGGTACACAGGCACACATGCACAGAGACACATACACAGAGACAGACACAGAGACAGACACACAGACACACATACACACAGACACACACAAATAAAAGTTAGAAAGCGTATTTTTGTCTTAAGTTATTTCTTTCTTCCAAGAGTACCCTCAGATCTCACTGAGGTGGTGAAGTGGTAATTTTAGACTACAGTGCTCCAGGCAGCCTATCCTCATGGGAGGATGTACCACCTCTACACCCCACCTCAGAGGGTATATAATAAAGGGCCCCCAATAAAGGCCCCTTGACCACTTGTGCCCCCAAATAGAAGCATTATTAAGGGGTGCACAGCTTCATGCCCCTATATATCTCATGCTGGAACTTTTTGGTCTATGGTTCTCAGAGTAGTGCAGAGATGACTCTGAACAATGCAGGCTTCAAACTTGTCACTATGCCCAGTGCTTTCTTGGGTAATTTCTGTGCCTGTTGGTCTTGGGGATCTTTCTGTGATCCCCTACACCTTTTCCAAACACTGCAGAGACATCCTAAGTGTATAGTCAATACCCAGAGGCTCCTGACCCCTGTTGCCACAGTTCCTAACCTGTTCGGAGAATGTGCCTGGATGAGTTTGTCAGGAGACACCCATGTTAAACCCAAAGCAGAGCTGGACCCTTTAATCTAGAAAGACAACCATTAGATGTTTCTTGGAAAACAGCATCTCATACTCTTTGTAGTTTTTAATCACAGACAGTATCCCCTAATACCAGATACATTATTGAGCCTTGAATGTTCTTAAGGATAGAAGCAAACATGTCTACTTCTTTTTTTTTCTTTTTTTTGTTTTTTTCGAGACAGGGTTTCTCTGTGTAGCTTTGGAACCTATCCTGGCACTCTCTCTGGAGACCAGGCTGGCCTCGAACTCACAGAGATCTGCCTGCCTCTGCCTTCCGAGTGCTGGGATTAAAGGCGTGCACCACCAAAGCCCAGTTACATGTCTACTTCTTATTCCATTTAAATCTTCCTCAGCTAGGGAGAAACTTGAGCATGCCACATTTGTCCAGTGGACCAATTGGAAGTACAAAATACACGTGTGTTTTCAAGATAGATATTTAAATGCACTATTTTACTTTTTTCATTTAGAGAGCTTTCAAAAGGCCTTGACCCTGAATCCATGAAATGGTTCTCTGGACAGCTTCCTGGTGTTCCTGAGGAAGGAAGCAGATTTTGGCAAAGAGGGTGAGCATGGTACAGGCCCTGCCGAGAGGAGGTGGGGGTGTCCACAAGGTCTCATCCATAAATCCTTGCTTTTTCCATTGCACAAGTACACAGACCCAACCCAAAAGCTGTAGAAGAGAGAGGAGAGTCACTGAGCACCTCTTGCAGAAATGTATTTTTGTTTTGGTCAATTTCCCAAGTAAGTTATGGTCTTGTCTTAGGCCCGCACTGGTGGAATGCCTTCTCATGTTATTGAGTACATTTAAAAGCTGTGCAAAAACCCAAATGTATTAAAATGTCAAGAAAAAATACGTTAGTGGAGTGACTTGTTTGTGAGGTTCTGATGAGTCCATTTGGACTTAATTCTCCTGAGACCCCGGTCTATGGTGCCCACTCTGAGAGGTGACATAAATCCACAATTCTAGAGGCAGGATGAGTCGCATCCATGCAGTTTAGGCATCCCCTGCTATGCTGTGATCAATGTCTCTCTCAGCCAGGAATTCTATCTCACACACATGTGTCCCCATGTCACCACTCAGAAGAATCCTCAGGACATAGGAGCCAACAACACCCGTGGTCATGAAGCTTTATTGCTGCTATTTGGCTTTAAAAAAATCTTCCAGCAGGTTGCTAAAAGGACGCTGAGCAGCAAGAACGTCATTAGGACCTTATTATTGTTTATTGTACCCAGATGTTGAGAATTTCAAATGTCCTGGAGGACTCATACTAATGTCAGATACCAAAACCTTATTTTTCCTTGCAGATATGAAGTCTGAATTATTCTCAATAAAAATAAGACCTTTGCACGAACAAGTGGTGCGTGCATTGGGGCACATAAGGCAGCCTTGCTCAAATATGACTTAGGATGCTGGAGTCCACAGAAAAGCTTTGGCTACTGTCAGAATTTCCACTCGTAAAATAGCAGTAAGGGTTTGGTGTGTGCTTTACAATTTTACACTATCTCCTATTTGGAAAGAAAAGTGGTGATGCATGCCTCCGGGAAGAAATACCTCACTCTAGCAAACATGCAGGGACGTGATTTTAAAGAAATCATTGTTTTTAATGAAAAGGAAAGCACATGATTTTAAAGAAATTGTTGCTTTTAATGAAAAGGAAAGCAAATCTAAGGAGGCATGGAGTGTGAGGGAATTACTAAACTTCCAGTCAGGGCCCGGAGCTTGCTGTCACAGTGGAGAAGGCTTTGTTTGTTGGCCACTTGAGACACACGATGGGAAAACACATGGAGGAGAAAGGGGGATGGTGAGTGTGTTAGTTATGCTTTCTATTGATGTGAAGAGACACCATGACCAAGCAACTCTGACAAAGGGAAAACATTTGGTGCCTCTCTTACAGATCAGTCCATTATCACCACGGCAGGACACGGCGACATGCCGGCAGTCATGGTGCTGGAGAGGTAGCCGGTACATGTTGATATGCAGACGACAGGAAGGAGACTGTCTCACTGGGCATGGCTTGAGCATATATGAGACCTCAAAGCCCCTCCCACAGTGACACATTTCCCCCAACAAGGCCACACTTCCCATTAGTGCCACTCCCTTCAGAGGTTGTTTTCTTTCAAACAACCACAGTGAGCGGTAGGGAAAATTAGCCTTGTTAGTATCACTGTGTATTAAACCAAATTGCAAAGCAAACAATGGACACCATTGGTAACAACACTTAAAAGGACAGGATGTGTTCAGCAGTATATCAGAGTAAACAGTAAGGGTTCAATGTGTCAAACATTAGCTCTTCTTTCAAAATTTAATGAAGGGTGTTACAATGGCTTGTAGGAGCCACTGAGAAAATATACATAGAAATAAACTCAGGGCTGGTGAAATGGCTCAGGAGGTAAAGGTGCGTGCCACAGAGCCTGATGACCTGAGCTCCACCCTGGGACTCACATGGTAGAAGGAGAGAACCAGTCCCTGCAAGATGTCCTATGCTTGCACACACAGGCGCACACGCACACACACACACACACACACACACACACACAGAGAGAGAGAGAGAGAGAGAGAGAGAGAGAGAGAGAGAAATATACACAGAGACAAACAGATAGACACATACACAAACACAAGCAAATCCTAATTACAGAAGAATACTCAGGAACCTGCTATTAAAAAGAAGATGGGCTGAAATGTGCAGGTTTACACACCAAAGTTCCAAAGTCCAGGGAGGTATCCTGCTGTGGCTTGGTGTCTCCTGTGCTGAGAGTTTGGTACCAAGGGTGCCAAGAAGGCTGAAGGTCCAGGCTCCTTACTCTACCCGTCCTCCCTGGGGACAGCAGGCATGCTTTGTATTTATGATTTTGCCTTGTTTTCCACAGTCTATAAAGTTCCAGCCTTCCCTTGTGGGTATATTTTTTTAATTCTACAAATAGAAGAAAATAAATTAAACCTTAGCTTTTCCAGAAAAACACAATATTCCCTATACAGCAATAAAAGTCTAGTGGATTGCAAAGAAAGAAAGACAAGTGCGTAGACTACCCATGGTAGAGTGGACCCAGCATAACATGCTATCAACAAATCTCTATAAAAGTAGAACATGGATTGGACATAAATAAGGCTAGTATAGGCTGGTTGAGGAAACCCCAATACACAGCCACACTGTCTACCATAATTCCCGAAAGAAGAGGCTGCCTAGTCTACCAATGTATTGTAGGGAAAATTGGCACACAGAACTCATCTTTGAAGAAATGATAAATAATATAATTGTTTCTCCAAAATTAAAGGAGACATAACACATGGATAGGCTGTATCAATGTTATTTTTTTATTCTCCATTAAAGTGAAAGGAACTAGACTCTGGTGTAGAGATAACATTAAAGGCAAAATATTTACATGAATATGGCCACAGCAATGGATGGCCTGGATGATGTCCTCTGACAGTGAACATGCATGTCTGAGAAGACTCCAGGAGTCAAGGCTGAGTTAAAAAACATACAAATAAAGCCGGACTCAAAGGAACCTGAAATATAATGAAAGATAACAAATAGAGTGTAAAGTAAGATCAGACAAAAATTAGCCCCAAACCACATGTGAGCTTTCTCAGCTTATATGAAATAAATCATTTAAACAGTAACATCTGCTATTAGTGCAGTTAGGGGGGAAATGGCTAACGTGCAGGGATGAGTATACATTATGGAGGGGACAGAGCTGTGTGTGCAGTGTGCGGGGACAGGGCTGTGTGTGCAGCATGCGGGGACAGGGCTGTGTGTGAAGTGCGCGGGGACAGGGCTGAGTGTGCAGAATACGGGGACAGGGCTGTGTGTGAAGTGCGCGGGGACAGGGCTGAGTGTGCAGAATACGGGGACAGGGCTGTGTGTGAAGTGCGCGGGGACAGGGCTGAGTGTGCAGAATACGGGGACAGGGCTGTGTGTGAAGTGCGCGGGGACAGGGCTGAGTGTGCAGAATACGGGGACAGGGCTGTGTGTGAAGTGCGCGGGGACAGGGCTGAGTGTGCAGAATACGGGGACAGGGCTGTGTGCGCAGTGTGCAGGGGATAGAGCTGTGTGTGCAGCATGCGGGGACAGGGCTGTGTGTGCAGTGTGCAGGGGACAGGGCTGTATGTGCAGTGTGTGGGGACAGGGCTGTGTGTGCAGCGGCAGGGGACAGGGCTGTGTGTGCAGTGTGTGGGGACAGGGCTGTGTGTGGAGTGTGCGGGGACAGGGCTGTCCATTCATACAGACCTTCCGAATATTGCTGTGCTGTGACAACTCCATTTCTAAATCTCATTCCCCTGCTCATAGAAGTCAGTCTACAAAGACAATGGCTAGAGAATGATTAAATGGGGGTGGTGGCTGTAGCTCAGTGGTAGTGTTCACCTGATAGACATGAGGCCTTGGCTCTATCTCCAGCACTTGAAGAATCCGATAAGGAGTCAAAGACATAACCTATCTCACAAAGGACAAATGAGAACAGAATTGGGTGAGATGGAGACATATGAGCCTTAAATATAACAGCTGAAAGACAAGTGTGTGCATGAGGTGAGCCAGATGCCAGGTAACAGCTGCCCACACCACCCACCACCATCACATAGAAACAAATTAAAGTCAGCAACCCTGGGATCTCTGTGCACACGCGTGCATGTGCGTGTGCGTGTGCGTGTGCGTGTGTGTGTGTGTATGTGCATGCTCATGCGTGAGTGTATGTGAGTGGACCCTCATGTGTATGTATGTGTGCTTGTGTGTGCATGAGTGTACACTTGTGTGTATGTATGTGAGCATGTGTGTGTGCATATGCATGTGTGTGTATGTGTGTTGCAGAGTTGGGGAATAGTGATCAGGACTAATAGAAATTGCCAGATCTCATTTAAGTAAGAAACAGTAAAGTTTTCATATTTTACCTTTAAGAAACCATATTTCTGGTAAGGTTCTGTCAGGACTCTCCATCTTAAATGTAGAAAGTAGAGTGCAGACACCCATTCCTACAGAGACCCTGAATCTCAGCAACCCATCCATAAATGTAAACTTCAAAAATCGCCCCAGAAACTTCACATGAAAGCCACAATCTTACATTTGCTTCAGAGTTTTCTTTGCTCTGGTTCTTGGTCACAGACCTGCCCTACATCAAATAGATTCATTTTTCACTTGCAGAGTAAAAGCTCCTGTGACTTTAGTCTTCCAAACATAAGCCCTTGGAGCCGAGCTCCAGTGAGAAAATGTATTTGTATGATACTGTTAAAAGTAGGATGTGGGCAGACCTCGAACTCCCCGCCCCCCGGGGGGGCGCCCTTGGGGGGGGGGGGGGGGGGCGGCGGAGGTTGTCTCCTCATAAATTCATTTCCTGTATACCCCAAATGGGAGCTTCAACTACAGGTGCATTTTAAACATGTGAATGCAGCATTGCTAACATTGCAAGCAAGGAGCTGGGCAGTGGTGATGCATGCCTTTAATCCAGAGGCAGGTGAATCTCTGTGAGTTCGAGGCCAGCCTGGTCTACAAAGCTACACAGAGAAACCCTGTCTCGAAAAATAAAAATAAAAAACATTGAGAGCCAGGGCCAGGGCCACGAGTACACATTTAAGGAAATAGTATTTGTGCCATTTTTCTATCCAAGGTTTCTTCTTCTTCTCCTCCTCTTCCCCCTCCTCCTTCTTTTTACCAAGTACACCGTCTTTGTACATGATGTGGCTTAACCTTCCAAAGCCCACTAAGCAGATTTCACTGTATAGCTGAATAACCCCGTGGCAGAACCATACAAAATCTAAGTTCCCATGAAACACACCCTTAGAATAATGCCCACACATGGCAAACCAAACACTGTGGAGTTTGTATCTGTTTTGCTTTTTGGTGTTATGTGGATGATATATGAATTTTGGAAACTGACCAATAAGAAAGAATGCTTTGCAGGGGTGGGGGCCAAAGCTCAGGCTGAACACCTTGGGAATGAAGAATCTTTCATAACATTTCCGCAGACCATGACCAAGAAGGAACCACAGGGAAGGATATGGTGTTTTCAGCGCGATCACCTACAGGATGCTTCTCCATGCACAGGAAGTTCGTGATGATTTACTGCAAAAGAGCCTTGATCCATGGCCCTAGAGAATGAATGACGTAAACTCAAGGTTAAGTGTCTACTAGGGAGGGATGTGGACTATAAACAACAGACCATTTCTGTTTCTGCTGCTGTTTGCTTTACCTAAAACGATGGGAGCCACTTGTGTATTGTGTTTCGTGGAAAGCTAAATGCCCCCTTCCCCATTCTTACTGCCCCCTTTTCCCCCCTCAGTTTTCCAAGACAAGGAAAGTAGCCCTGGCTGTTCTGGAACTCACTCTGTAGAGTGGCTGGGCTCGAACTCAGAGATCCATCTGCCTCTGCCTCTCAAGTGCTGGGATTGAAGGCATGCGACACCCACTGCCCAGCTTTCTTAAGAGATCATTAAGATATTTCTTTTATTTTAGATTTATGTGTTGAAATTACATTGTCTGAGCTACAATCGGGGTAGAGTGAAAAATGAAAGACTCCAAGGAAAAGAGAAGAGAAAATATAACATTAAACCCTTGATTTTAAAAGACAGCGTAAGTCAGGCACTGGAAAGTGCTCAATGGTTAAGAACACTTGCTACTCTTACAGAGAATAAGTTCACTTTCTAGCACTCATCTTGGGTGGCTCAGAACTGCTTGTAACTCCAGCCCCAGGGGCTCTGACACCCTCTTCTGGCCTCGGTGGGACCCAGACTCATGTGCACATAGCCACACACAAAGTCATATATGTACATACTATCTTAGTTACTTTCCTAATGACCAAAGTATCTATAAAAGAAATCATTTAATTTGGGACTCACAGTTGCAGACAAACTAGAGTCCATAACCATCATGGCAGGGAACATGGCACAAGCAAGTGGGCATGGAGCTGGATTAATAGCACATATCTCAGTTCACAAGCAAGAGGCAAAGGGATATAACTGGCAATGGCATGGGCTTTTGAAACCTCAAAGCCCACCCCCAATAACTCTTCTAACAAGTCCACACCTCCTAATCCTTTCTAAACAGACCCATCAGCTGGGAATCAAGCACTCAAATGGAAGAGCCTATATAGAGGCCATTCGCATTCAAGCCACCACACATCTACTCATGATTAAAAATAAAATAAATCTCTAACAGAGGAGTTAAGACTAGGGAGGGAGATTTAGTTTCAGTGTGACACAATGCACAAGTGGTTCCCGTCTCAAACCTTCACAGTCACATGTGACTTTGCATTGATCCCACCCTGGCTGTGAACTCAGCTTGGCCAAAGGGTGCCAGCCAGAAAGCAGGGCTTAGAGTGTACATCCAGGACTAGGCTTTGCTCACACGTGACCTCTGTGTGCTTACTGGGATAGCCATGTTCAAGTTCTACAGAGAGTCATGAATAGAGTCAATGTTCCCAGTCATATAGGCTAAAGCCACCACTCAAATTTGTATATGGGCTCCCAGCTGACATCAACAGAATTGATTAGATGGTAACTCTTCCAGACCAGGCAGTGACAAACATCAATCCTGTCTTTTAATATTCCTAGCTGCTGTCTCCATGGTGGCTACCTTTGGTTGTCTAGTCCCTGAGGAAAGTATGCAGTCAGTACTTGCTCCATCCCAGGCACCAGACAGCCACACCCCTAGCCAGAGCAAGCCAGGTGAGTTCTCTGGAGGTTCACAGGCTTCCTATCAACCCCTGCTCACACGGAAGAGCAGACAGAGTGGCAGACTTCAGACAGAGTGGCTTTTCTTTGTCTGCCCATTTGTGGCTCCTCCTTAATCTTAGAGTATGGGTTAGTCAGGGTTTCCAATGACACACAGGACATATCATCTTTATATATGCATGCAGACATATACATATGTAAAGATGACAGGAATATATAACAGGAGGGGAGGGTATCAGAAGAATCTGAAGGCACAGCTGTGGATTCCGAGAAGTCCGACAACAGGCCACCTGCCACCTGGAGAGATGACAGGTAGGTGCAGTGTGACTTAGTTCAAGGCTGAACACCTACTGAACAGAGAAGTGGAGAAGGTAGCTCTCAGTATGAGGCTGAGGCCGGGGAACCAGGAAGTAGAATGGAAGAAGTCGGGGGAGGTGCTGCAAGTCCTGGAGTCTGAGGTCAAGAGAAGCTGAGCTTCTAATGTCCAAGGTGCCCGCTCCCTTGCTTCTGCATTCTATCCAGACCCACAAATGATGGCATAGCACTCTGCGTACAGGGTGAGGGTGGAGCTTCCTACGTCCATTCGCTGATTAAAATGCCAGCCTCTCACAGACATTCCCAGAATGCTTTGCCAGCTCCCTCAGCCTAGTGGAGTCGGTATCTGGAACTGACCATTGTAGAGTAGTCCCTTGCCAAGCTAAGGGCCCTCTTCCCTTCAGCCACATCTCCCGCTGCCCCGCCCCCCCCCATCCCTGTATATCTGCGGCTCAGGCCTTCTCGTCACTATGCTCCCTTTAGCATCAAGACTCCATACTCTTTATTCCCTCTGTTGGAGATGCTGTCCCCTCTCCCAGTCCCCACCTATCTAACTATAACAAATCCAAGATCCCCCTCACCACCCTTTGAATATGAAGCTCCGCCCCTTCACCTCACTGAATATAATTTAATTTTACAGGGTGAGAACCTGGCTGCCGTCTTCGCCCCCACTTCCGTTTTCCATTATATTCCCAGTGTGATCCCTAGTGCTGTCGACCTATAGAAGCTACACTCACCTAGGAGAAGGGCTTCTGGGTATAGCTGTGGGGGATTAACTGGTTGGCGAAGACCTGCTGGCTGGGATGCTGAACTATACAGAGAAGGCAGGTGAGCAGCCCGGGCCGTTCGTGGCTTCCTCCGGACTGCAGCGGTGATAAAGCCAGCTGTTTCCGGCTCCAGCTGCCTCCACCTCTCACCCTGACCCTCCACCTCCCACGGTACCCTGAACTGTGAGCTAAAATAAATTCTTTCTCCCCTGGTTTGCTTATGCCTGACGCTTTTATTACAGTCTCGGGGGCACGGGGGGGGGGGGAACTAAGGCTTTAAGCATCCAGAATTGGGCTCAAAAGTACCTATTTCCCCCCTGTTTTTTTTTTGCCGGTGGTTTTTTTTTTGCTGTGGGGGGGGGGGGGGGGGGGGGGAACTAAGGCTTTAAGCATCCAGAATTGGGCTCAAAAGTACCTATTGCGTCAATGATTGGTATGACTTCTGTTTCAGATGAGAGGGAGCAAGTGTCAGAAAGGTCGGTCACACGGCTCCCTAGATACCTCGGTACAAACTGTAAGAAGAGTCAGTGTCAGCTTGGCACGTAGCTGATCCCAAGCTCACGTTCCCTCATGGCATGCCCTGGTAGGATGATGCCAGCACCCGGGCCTCCACCCTCCCTACAACCTGAGCCCCACCCTGCTCCAGCGCAGCTGTCAGCCCAGGCGGGGCACATCATGGGACAGTCAAGGCCCTCTCCTTCTGTGGGCGCCTGGCTACTGTGTAAAGGCAGCTGTGTCCACAAGTGCTCTTCTTAGGGAGACTGTGGGAGAATGGGCTCATTGCTTTTTTGTTTCCCAAACCCCTCCAGCCTTTCATTTCACCCTCTGAGGGAGGGTCTCTACCTCAGAGGAGACCATTAAAGACCCCGTTGCTCCCAGGGTCAGCAGCTGGCAAAACGCCTGCCTTTGTGGGCGCCCTCCTCAGAGTCCGATTAGAAGCAGAGTTCACCCTGGCTCCTGAGGCACCTCGGGCGTGATTAATGCGCTGCCAGTGTGATAGATGATAAACATAATGGGGCTTGAAGGAAATTAATGGTATTTTGAATCTTTAATAATGGTACATAACTATCTAAAAGAGACATCTCCATCACAATGTGACTCTTCTAAAAGCCGGTGGCACTTTGCTGACAACGGAGGGGAAACTTTGGGTGTGTGGGGGTTAAGGATTAGAGAGAAACGTGGCCAATAAAAATGATTACATTTGTCAGGATGGAAGGACTGAGGGCATGGCTGGTAGCTGAATTTCCTTTAATATTGTCATGGCAGTTGGCGTGCAAGGAATTCTTTTTAAAACGGAATAACAAAATTGAATTTTGTTCTCTTTAAAATGTCTGCGTGTTTTTCACAAGAACATAAAGATTGGGCTAATTTATGCCCTTTTCCCTACCTCCAGCAACAAAGGAGGCCCTATTTCACCCCACAAGTGTAAGCTACATGCAGGGACATTGTTATTGAGGTTCTGTCCATTAAGAGTTTGGGAAAATGCATGCTCACCCCAGGAGGAAGGGTCAGAGGGGAGGAGAAGAGTAGCTCAGGGACAATAATAGCTCATTGTGGCACCCACAATCGGGCTAAATCTACAACTTTGGGAAAACTCGATGCAGCATTGCTGGGGACACCCTGAACAAGAGATTGCAGCAGACAGGCATGGAGGCAAGATCAGGGTGAGTCTCAGAGACTTTCCCACATGGCAGCTTTGCAATCTAGAAAGCCCACCGGATTTGCAGCAAATGTCCACTGAAGCCCTCGTCTTTCCCAAATCCTTCAGAGTTCTACCACTAAGTAAGCGGGGATCTTACGGGAGATCACCAGTGAACCTCCTGTGACTCCATGAGGCGAGGTAACCAGCCTCACAAGAGGGTTTCTGATTTCCATGGATGAGCCTCTTCCCAATGCCTGGCACTGGATTTGTGAGCTGCTATGGAGGAACTGCAGAATCAAACCCAGAGGCTTCCCAGAACTGAGTTTCCAAAGTGTTCCCATGTCAGAAGATGTCACTATCTGATACCCTAATAACATCTTGCTTGTACGTAGTTGAGTTCCACGAGGAGCTCAGAATATGCCTCGTGGTAACAGGCTCTCTCTAGAATGGTCCACTTAGTCAGAGCTTCAGAGGCCTGGTCATTCCTGACCTCTATTCATTTGTGAAAGGTGAATTTTTATTTTATTTTTTATTTGAGACAGGATCTCATATAGCCCAGGCTGAACTTGAACTCACAATGTAGCATGGAATGACTTTGTACTTCTGAACTTCCTGTTACAATTATAGATTATGCCATCATGTCTGGGTTGATGCAGGGCTGTTGGTCAAGTGCAGGACTTAGTGTGTGCTGGACAAACACTCTCCTAACTGAGCCTCTCACCTGAGAAATTTTTATGTGACTCTGGTAGATAAGTACACAAATCAAATATTTGCTGGTAAAACATCATAAAGAAATTTTAAATTTAAATAATTAATTATTTTGTTTACATGCAAATTTACATACTATTGACATGGGTGTGTTTATTTGCTGTTACATAAAGAATTAAATTCTGGCTGAATCTTTAATACTGAGGGACACAGAGAATCGTCAACATTTTTCAGAGTAGGCCATAACTTTGATTTTATAATCATTAATGCTGAGAACCTAAGTACACAGTACAACACAACAGAAGTACATCAGAGTGGTGTCAGAAGTGCCTAGAAATTCTGTCCTAATCTCATGTCAAAACTCACTGGCCAGTTTCTCATGGACCTCAAGGCAGGAACTCAAATATTAGTGCTTAGACTCAAACTTCTACCACCATACAATCCAAAGCTACACTTTCTGATGCTTACATGCTGAGGAAGCAGAAAGCATGAAGTCTCTATTTTCCATAACGAAGCCAATATGTTTCTACAAATACAAAAAAATTCATATAGTAACGATGCTGCAGTTCCTAGCCTCACAAGTGCATGAGAGCATGCTCGGTGCAAAGTCGAGTGGGTTGCGGGTTCAGCAGCAAACTTTCTGTGAAGTCAAACAATGCAACCCAGGCAAGGACTGAAAACCCCTCCAGTCATTTCACATTTGATTCTGAATTTATATTGGTTCAGGAACTTCCCAAGCTCCACCAGACATTTTCTATCATTGGAAAGGAACTCTGGGGGCCAAGAGAACCTACAGGGCTAAATGCATAAAGACAGGTAGAGTACATATTAATAACTAGAGGCTGCCACTGCGTTATGAGCAAGGAGAAGGGAGAATGGGAAGAGTTTAAGAAGGACTTCAGTGAATTTGTATAGCCCCCCTCAGAAGCGTCCATCCTTACAATGCCAGGAGCTTCTCTTTCTCTTTCTCACCTCCTTCAAGCTCTTTTACATTCCACCCAGCTTTTGTCCAGAAAACTGGGGAACACGGATGTGGTGAATGTCATGCACAGCTGAGGCGTTAATTGCCTTCCTCGATATTGTTGGACAAATGTCTGAAAGAGCATCTTGAAGGAAGCAGGATGTGTTTTGTCCACCATGCCAGAGGGTTCAGCCATTGTGATGAAGAGGGCATGGTGTGGCTGAGCAGATCACAGTATGGAGGCCAAGAAGCAGATCAGAGAGGACCGCGGCAGGAAGAGGTCAGAGCAAGGCACAGTTCCCAAAACACTGATTTCTGAAACAGGCATGTAACTCCCATGATCTCAGTGGTCATGGGGCTTTTTCTTGTCTCTTTGGATAGCTGCAAAAGAAATTAAAGACATAATTATTCTCAAAGGGTCCAGCCTACATCTTGAGCTTGCTACAGAATTTGTAATACAGTCACTTGTGTGGTAGTGGTTTTGAAAGCATGTGGGGTGCCTTCCTGGGTTTGCCCCCTATTCAACAGAGCCCACAGATAAAGGGAAAGTTTAAGTTAAATGATGGGTGCTTTGACGGGGGTCACAGCTACTGAGTGGGAATCTGCCATGTTCAGCAGCACATAACTCTCCTGCTCTTCTTGATGCCTTGAACGGATGGATCTGGCTGGGGCAGCTGGGAAACTTGTTGGCCTACTTGAGGAGTCTCCATAAAAGTCAAGTCCCTAGTTCCACACACAGACCACCCTCCCTTATCAACATGAGAAATAAAAGGATTTTCACACAGTTCTTCATTTACTGTGGGAATTGAAGTCATCCCCAGAAGCAAAGGTGCAGACTTAAGGGCAAAAGAGAAATTATTTAACCCAGAGCTTGTCTTGGGGGGGTGGGTTATTTTTTTTAAAAAGACACAAAGTTGGGTATGCATGGAAAGGAGTAAATCTTGGAGGCTTTTGGGGGAGAAGGATGAATATGATCAAAATTCGTTGTATGAAACCCTCAAAGAACTAATAAAATGAGAGGACAAGACAAGAAGCATCATTGTTTGGTTTCCTCACCCAAATAACTTCTAACAAATCCCCATCAGAATGCTAGAGAGCCAGGAGTGAATTCAGTCTAGCGAGCCATCAGTCACTTCACCATGACAGGCGAATGTCTCACTCCGTGACTGACCTGTGGAGAGCTAAGACCCCATACTGGGGTTGGGGGCAGCAGCATCTGCTGGTGTAAGAGCTCCCCAGCCTCTTAAACTTGGTCCACAAACTAGCAGAGAGCTGAGAAAACTCAGCCACATCATCAACTGTCTGCCCAGCCACTGGGACCCCCAAGTCTCCACTTGCTGGTCTTTTGATCTGAAGTTAGTTCTTCAGTGTCACTAATGCAGTGAGCACTGCAGACAGATCTGGCTCAGATGGTCATTGCTGGCTCTTATGGGTCCCTCAGACTTAATTTGGGTGACATCCTGTCTCCAGGTCATAACTTGCCAAGACTAAGGAGCACATTGCAACAAATCCAAAGGAAGGCTCATCAGCGGAGCTGAGCACACATCATGCAGAACCCCGTGCTCCATGCAGCTGAGCCCATCCTCAACCACGTCTCAACTGATCTCATGTCCAGTCCCCAGGCATGCTGGGCAAGCGTCTGAGTCACCAGGAGAAAACCAGAATGTGCAACTCAGACCTGAGAGAAGAAAGGGATATCATGGCTAGATGAAGACGGCTTAGGAGAAGGGTCTGTATCCAAGAGGCTTAAAAGTAAGGAAAAGAGAGGGGTTGGTTATAATATAAGGTTGGATAATACAACAGTTGCCTAAAATACACAATGACAGGAGCAACCTGTTGAGCTCCTATGATGCTGGAATTTGAGCCTTGAGGGATGGCTTTAAGAGACCATTTGAGCCAGGTCT